CATCAGACATGCATATGATATACAGACATATACATAAGCAAAATACATATTCACATTAAAATAGTAAGAGTAAAATAATAAAAAAAACTGTTCAACTAGCATAGGACCTAACAATTGCATTTATCCCATAGAAAAGAAAAGTTTATTAATATAAAGCAGATGCATGTTCACAACTATTTCATTCCTAATCACACAGAAAGCCAGATGCTTCTCAGCAGGTAAATAAAGCAGGGTAAATGCACACTTTGGAACCACACCCACATTGCACAGACAATGCTGGCTGAATTGATATCTTACCTGGGGTGAACTGCCTAAGAACTGAAATTTAAAATGTGAACCATAAAGGTTACATGCTGTGATAATATACATATACCAACAACAATGACACCCTCAATACATCCCAGACAGAACTAGGTGAATGACATGTGACAAAGATTGTATTATTAAACCATGGAATTAACCACTGCATATTAAATCACATTAAAAACATGGTAACCTTTTCAGGCATTACACCATTAAATCTGGCACCAGAAAGAGGTCAGACGTGGCCAGGCACATCGAAAACAAACCGAGGCACCTTCACACAATCTCATAGCACCTAGTTTTGGAAAATGAACTAAAATGTAATACATTCCTCACTAAAGCACGCCCTGTGTGTCCTGGATCCCCCTGGTGGAAAGACTGTTTTGGACCTGAAGCGTTCACCACTTAGTCTTTAGTGACGAAAAATTTTAAAAAGAGTAAATCTTCCACGTTACTTGGGTTAGATCCCTGATTTTTAGACGATTTTTCTTTGTCAAACTCAGGATTTCAGTTCTAGTGTTAAATCACTGAAAAGCAGGCATTCTGAAGAAAGAGCACGAGTCAGCACATCTTAGCTGAGGCTTGGTGAGTTCATCTCTAAACGTCTGCCAGTGCCCATAGCTTTTGGAGTGAGCAACTACTGTCTAGCGGTACTTACAGTAAACACTTAAAAATTTGTACTTTGGGTTGGTCCAAGTGGGAATTAATGCTCTTTCAAGTTTATTTAAAGGCTCAGTTCAGTTCTTGAAGACTCCCTTGAAAACAAGTAGGGGTGTTATACATGCAGAGCCTGCACAGGAAATCTGGTTTTGCCTTCCACCACTCAAATGAAAAAAAAAAAAACCCAGTCTGAGTAATTAAACGGCTGACTTCTTAAAACCCTGCCACAAAGAACAGTGTCAGCTATTTAGCTCAATTGTAGTGTTTAAAATTAGGATTATTTGGGTAATAATGTTCATTGGTTAACTTTGTGTGTGTGTGTGTGTGCGCGTGGGTGAATCACAATATGAAGACAATGGTTTAAAATCAGCATGTTGACGCAATGGCTGAATTACAGGAAATTACAGGAGCATCAGCTACTAGGTGAGTCTTCATTCTCCCTTGTTCTTCCTGCTCTTGTCACTCTCCCTTACCTCTTTCCTCCCCCTCCACTTTGCTTGGTTTTAAGACAGGATCCACAGGTAGCCCAACCTGGCTTGGACCTTTCTATGTGGCCAGTGGAGGCTAGTATTAAATTCCTGTTCCGTCTGCCTTCACTTCCCAAGGGCCAGGATTCCAAGTACAGATCCTGCCTGGCTGAGGATTTTCTTTAACTCCTTTTCACTAAATATAAAACAAAACAACAAACAACTTTTGAAGGTGGGATAAGGTTAAATTAAAACATTTTGTGGTGTATTTCGCAAGGCACATACGCAATGCTTTTGTTCGACGGTGCTGTGTTGCAATCCAAATTCCCCTTGCTTCCTCCTTCTTTATGTAACTCTGCCCTCTAGTGGAAGTGGTAATTCTGTGACTGTCTTACAAATGTGGGATGTGATTGATGTTCAAGATACAGAGTCTAGCCTCAGACAAAAGAACAACTCCATCTGGCAACTTTTTAGATGGACCGTCAAAATAGATTCTTTCTAGAAAACTTGACTTTCTAGAGGTCTTCTAAATGAGGAGAGAAAATGAAATTCAGTCACTTTGTGAGTGGGAAATAGGAGCAAGAGAGACCGGACCAGCCCTTAAAGTGGTATGGCCAATTGTTTAAATGCCCAGTGATCCCTTGCACGCAGCCCTTTCTTCCTTCCCCTCCTTCCACTTTAGTGGGAGACAGCCTTGAACTTCTGATCATCCTGACTCCACTTCCCAGAGTTCTGACTGGTTTATGCGGTGCAAGAGATTGAGCCCCTGGCCTTGTGAACGCTGTGTTAGCTGTATCAGCACTCTGCCAATGGAGCATTCACAGGCCCTGCACTAAGTGCTTTTCTATGCATCAAATGTCAAAACACAGGCTATCTGGGGGAAAGGACTACATTCATTTGGTTCATTCATACTTTTTATGCCCAGACATAAGCAGCCTGGCAAAAAGCTGACCCCCAAATAAATCCCAAGTGAAGTCAAGTATGTATTGAGAAACTATTGTGGGGATGGAAGTGGGGGGGGGGAATCAGGGAAGTGAAGAAGAAGGAGACAGTTGGATGCTGGGGTCCTAACAAGCACATCCTGTTGTGGCTGGAGAAAAAGTCACTGCTCTCTTCAACACTGAGGGCAGTTCCCAGGAATGGCTTACTCACTGTCCACTGAAAGTCAAACTCAAGTTTCTTAACATGTGACAGTGGCTTTTTATTTTTCACCATGAACTTCACTTCTCTGCAGGAAGAAACAAAAGCTAATCAAAACAAACAAACAAATAAAAAAGCTATACAAAGTCTTTTTCCTCTCTCTCTCTCTCTCTCTCTCTCTCTCTCTCTCTCTCTCTCTCTCTATCTCTTTGCTAAAACCACACACCTGTTTCATGAGCCAAACGTGAACAGAGTCACTTTGTTTTCATTATATATTTACCTAAACATATTGGTATTTAAAACATTCTGAATATTTTTTTTACCCAAAGCAGTAAGGACCATAACTGGCCTAAGGGTGATATTTTCAAGGTAAGGTGTTAGCAGTTACCACTGCAGATATTGTTGGGGTACTTGGAATGCTCACGAGGCCTCTTCAAGACAGTGCACATGGCTTGCTGTCCTATCCTAGGCCCCATCTGTGCCCATGTGTATAAGAGAAGATGTCATCCCCACTGAAAAACATTGCACTATATTCAAAGGAAGCAGTTGTTCTTTTGCTGTCAACTGTTTTGCAAAAAAAAATCATATTTTCATTATAGTTAAATAACCTAAACACTGAATGTTAGACTGCCATTCAATTTACGAAGCCAGTTCATTTCACTCTCATGTCTGAGAACACTGAACAGCATGGCACTCAGCGGGGAAATCTCTTCAGTTTGAGTAAGACTCAGACACAGTCAGTCACAAAAGCCTCTCACTTTATTTCCCAGTGTAAGGATGCGATGAGAGTGTAAGAGCTGGAGGATGGGAAGGAATGCTGTCAAACGCTCTCCCCTGGACACACTACACCTATCACACCCATGAACTCATTCATGAACTCAGAGCAGCCGGGAAGACCAGCCCAAGACTGGCGCATGATCAAGCGAGTCAAACTTCCAGCACAGGCACGATGGTGGATCTCCACATCCCACCCTTACTGAGAAGGCAATGGCGGTGAATAGGTGCTAGGGGTGGGGATAATCTTTTTTAAGGATGTGGTCATGGGTAGAATCTCCATGCTCCCAGAGAAGATTCTACACTCACACATATAGAAACAGCACTAAGCCGGGTGTTGGTGGCCCACGCCTTTAATCCCAGCACTGGGGAGGCAGAGGCAGGTGGATCTCTGTGAGTTCGATGCCAGCCTGGTCTACAAAGCGAGTTCCAGGACAGCCTCCAAAACAATACAGAGAAACCCTGTCTCGAAAAACCAAAAAAAAAAAAAAAATAGAAACAGCATTAACTAGACTTCATGAGCTATAAAAAAATTAAAGCAAATAACAACAACAAAAAAAACCATAAAGTTGATATGGGAATGTGTTGAAGAGAATATGGGCAGAATTGGAGAAGGAGATAGAGAGTAAATATGACATATTTCATTGTATGTTTATGTAAAATTCTCAATAACAAACACATTTTTTAAGAGTTAACATTTCTGCCAGACTTTGTTGACTCCTCATGGAAGCCCTTACCCAGCTGGGAGGAGTGGATGGGGGGGTGGACTGGGGAGGGGAGGCAAGGGAGATGGGAGGAGGGGTGGGAGGGAGAACTGTGGTTAGAATATAAAACAAAATTTAAAAAATAAACAAATAAGGACTGAACATTTCAGAGAAATTCTAAAACTGACCTGAAGGAAGCCTCAAGCTTTTAGTTTTCTCACTCAGCTACTCTGTTATGTTTTGCATTTAAATCTTTCTTCAGTCAAAAGTTTTATGTTTTAAATATCTTGTGAAAGTTTCCTCAGGTTAATGCTTTTTCAAAGAATACAAGCTGTCTTAGATCACTGGTCAGTGACCTATCTAAAACAACAACTTAAGATCCAATTTTAGGTAAAGTGGCTAAGGTGATGTCCTGGTCTTTGAAAGGGGTCTGCTGCTTTGGAACACTGGTTACAAAGGTCACAGGAGTAAGTGGGCATGGCCCATGTGAGAACGACCTGGTTAGTAAGGAGAGCTTGGCACAAGGTGTTTGCAGATGCCACTGAAACTTACCTTTAGCTACAAGGTGGCAGTGCACTGTTTGACACGGCGCACACTATGGGGACATCTAGAAGAGAAGTCCTTGTGGGATCCGTCAGGGGGGAAGGGGGTGGCACTGGCCTGGCAGCATTTGTATGAATTCTTTCCAACCACGAAATCAGTCTGACTCTGGCACCAGAAAACCTCAACGTTCCAATCTCTCACAGTTGTCACTTTTACAGAAAAAAGAAGTTCTGCTGAGAGGTGAAGCAACTTCTGCTTATTCGTAAACGACCCATTTGATACTCCGAAATTAAAATGTTAAGCAGCGATCCAGGAAAGTGGAGGATGTCCCACCAGGGTGCACATGCCTCCTTCGGCAGCAAATGTGAGGGAAGCCAGGTTCCACAGAAGGAGTCTCCAGAATTCAGAATTAGCAGACATCTCTGAAATCACCTTTATTCTGCTTGCAAGGATACAATTACTTAGCTACTATTTCACTTGTTCCCATTTAAAAGTTTCAGAGCCTGCCACATTAAACAATGACTTCACTAGCAAATTGCTATATAAGACCATCATAAAACACAAATGTTAAACTAAGACAACTCCTTTTACAGCATTCAGATTAGTGCATTAAAACATTGATTTAAAAAGGCAAATGAGTTCATTGGCAGATGTCTGATTCTTATTCTAATGAAGGATGATAAAAAAACGGATGTCGAGGTTGGGGCAGATAGTGCTGAAGGAGATGATGAGTGAAGATTATTAGCCCATGGGCTTCATCGTCTTGTATTTGTCTTTGTATGTGTGTGTAACTGTCCTACACTATCGAGAAAGATGCTTCCAGTTTAAGTGGGGGAAAAACTGGCACTCTAAATAAACTCTAAATTTAAGTGTCAAACTTGTGTTCAAATTATGTCCCAAATCTGTAACCATGGGAAGGTTACTTTGTGGTGATGACTCAAAGATACTTGTCTAATCAGTGCTCTGTAGAACACAGGTCCAGGCAGTATGAAGATTGCTCAATGCAGGAAGAAATTGGAATAGATAGCAGTATGGGTTTTTCAGACACTTCCTCCAAGTTACATCTAACATTACAGTAACTATATTTTCTTCAGGACACATCAAATTAAATAGACCATATATAAAGTCAATCTATCCTTACTATCTTTTCTATGCAATCTACAGCAAATGCACATATACACATTGGGAAATGGTTCACTGATTCTATTTAGAGACGGCAAAAGCAATCCAATAATGAAAGATCACCAATGATCTGCACTGCTGTGGTCCGCAGGGGGTAACACATCCCACAAACAGGTATGTTAAGGTTTGGTTTTTTGGGAATATTGGCTGGACAAATCAAATTTAAACTTGAAGTTTTAAAAGTAAGACAGCACAGTCTGGGTTCATGTTACACAGTCAGAGAGGTATAAGTGGTGTACACACATCAATCAAATAATTCCCCAAGCTCAGTCAAATAATATAAATAAATTATAAATGAGAGTCATGTACAATGTGAACAAAACCCAACAGTCATTGAACTAACAAGTATGGACGCTATACCAGCAATGGTACTTAGAAAAACCTCCAGTATTAGAAAATATCAGATAGAATTCAAAAGAATCTCCTGCCCCCAATAAAAATGACAAAGTATGGGACCATCCTTTACACCGCAGTCTTAAAATAACAATAGAAAGTGGCCTCGGGAGTCTGCCTACGGAACCTAGACGACGTCATGCGTGCAGTGGTCCTCTCCTTCACCACTCAGCCTTTCAGTCCCCATATGATGAGACAGATAACCACAAGTCCGAGGACGAGGATAAAAATGATGATGCAGAGCGTTTTTCTGGATTTGCGCTGCAGAAGCAAGAGCAAGACACAGACACATTCAGTGCGGTGACCCCACAATAGCTGAAAGTACCTCAAGTTCACTGGAGTCAGTTTGCAGCTCTCGCATTCGGGGTTGCGATCTTTCTCCTTAAAAATCTCTACAACACACACGTTGCTAACAGTTCACAGCTGAAGCATGAGTTGTATTTCACAGATACATATGGACTCCCCATGTTCACGAGACTCCCTTGAGACATAAACTTATAGCTATTGTAAGATCTCTACTACATAATGACATAGTATATAATGATTAATGGCACTCCCAGCTAACAGTTTCCAGAGACTTTGAAGAGACCTCTCTAGTACAAGGACCTTTGTCACTTCAGTCTGGAGGACCACTTGACATGAAAGAAAAGTGGTTAGTAGGGCAGTGGTGGCACACACCTTTAATCGCAGCATTTGGGATGCAGAAGTAGGTGGATCTCTGAGTTCAAGGTAAGCCTGGTCTACGCAGAGAGTTTCAGGACATCCAGGGCTACATACAGAAACTGTCTTAAAAATCAAAACTAAAAAGTGTTGGGGAAGTCCTGTGTATATGTCAATAAATTACTGCTGGCCAATAGGAATCTAGATAGGTGGGGCTAGGAGTCCAGGAGGATTCTGGGAAGGAGAAACACGAGGAGTTGACATGTAACGCCATGGGGTAGGAAGCCTGGAACTATTCTCCGGTAAGAAACATACTTAGATTAACAATTATGGGGTAATTACTTAAGTCAGAGCTAGCCAGTAAGAAACAAGCAAGGCCAACAACTTCATAATTAATACAGCGTCTTGTGTGTTTATTTGGGGACTACAATGCGGCAAAGCCCAGGCGACTGGCGGGGGATAAACCAAAGCGGCTAGCAAAGAAAAAGCTTCTCTTAACAAAAAAGTAACAGGGAAGAATGGGAAATGAGAGCTTTCGAAAGGCTACCAAAGAGGTCTCTCCATATGTTGGGTTGTCACTGTCACTTAAGAGACCATCATGGGATACAGATGGCACAGTTTACAGAGAGCACTAGTAAAATTCACCTTTTTTATCTTTGATGGAAGAAACTGACAATGTTTTCCATCCAGAAGGATGGGAATCGATATGTCAATACTTGGTAATCTTTACTGTTCTGTAAAGCTAGCCCTCATAGAATCATCAAGAATTCTGAGCAATGTCTGTCAGTCAACAGACCCCATCCTTATGCATATTACAAACCCTTCCTCCCTAGGCCCAGACTCCTGAGCACTGCTTCCCGGTCAATAGACTCATTCTTGTGAAAAGGCCACATGTGCTTTACTAAAGAGATGTACTTGGATGTAGCCATGCCTGAAGCTTTCGTGTAATAATTCCTACATGGAAGCTTTTTCCCAAAGTTTTACTGTGTTTAAATGTGTGAAAATAAATTGCCTAGTATCAGACTCCAGAAGTTTTTGATCCAGCACCAGCTAAGTTGTGCTGACCCAAGTTTCATTTGTACCTTACCTGGACTGCTTCCCTGCCATCTGTGATGCTTGCTTCCCACAATGGGAAAAGTATGGAGTAGTAGTCTCTTGCAGGCTTCATGATTTCCTATTTCTGTAGATTCATGTAAGAATACACATGCCCAAACCAATTTTAAATTGACTGGCACATTTCTGATCCTCCCCTTCCACAGAATTCTAAAGTCAGCCTATGCAACCACTTCAAGCATAAGTCAAAACTCTAAGTTTTAAGAAAATGGATTACAGTTAATGTTACCTGATAATTTGCCGCTCTTGACAGCTGCTGGTTTGCCTGTTGAACGTGTACCTCTGCAGTTTCTACATTGGCTTCTATGCTGTCTTTTATTTAAAATAAAACGCACATACACATAGAATTGTTAGACACGAACTGATGTGCCAATAATAAATCACCAAATTTCATTCAGCAGACATGTAAAGAAAAGATGTAACCCAACCAATATACGAATGCATAAGAAAAAGACCTTAATCATCATCTCTAGCTCTATGGGACACAACAAAAGTACAGTCATTTTACAAATATCAGATCCACATCTGCACAAACTCCTGTCCGTTTCTAACCCCAGAGCTTTCACTGTCTCAAGACCAATGCACCAAACAGATAAGCCAGATAAGCCCTCTTCTGCCCAGGTCCGAAGACTTTCATCATCACATAGAAAATAAGCTACCTCAGCTTCTCAAGAACACTCTCCTCAAGACCAAGGAGGGATCCAAACACATTCAGTCCTTTGTATGTTTATTTAGTCAAACTGCCCGGCTAGTTCTTAGTGTTTCTCAGTTTTGTATTTAATTCTGTAAATATAACCCACCTCAAATTATTTACATAAACACAGTGCTCTACCTACTTAGCATGGGACAGTGGGCATCTTCACAGTAAGAATTTGATAACTGTATTCTGTTTTCACTAACCTAACTGCAGTGAAATGTAGTCCTCACCCAGGACACATAGACCTTCTCAGTGTGGCACTCTCCTTTCCAATCTAGGGATACAATAGACACTGACTTGTGGGACTGGAGACTCTTGCTTCTCCCTACCAACTCTCAGTTTTAAAGGTCATTGTGTCATGTTCTTGTAGACAACCGCCCCCCCCCCGCCCCCAGCAGTAGACATTCAAAGATTTCATAGCTTCTTCAGTTCTGGAATACCTTGAGCCCTGACTCAGTGGTGTTCTTTTCAATATTTCTCTTAGTGTCCCAGGTGCTGGTTTCATTAATCAGTGGTGGACCCTTGTAATGAATACCTTGGTCTCGCTATAAATCAACCACTTACTCTGTGTATCTGTGCCCATGTAGATGTGCACATACCTGTGCACATGGGTATGGAGGCCAGAAGTTGACTTCAGGTGTCTTCCTCTGATGTCTTTCTCACTACTTTTTGAGTGAGAATCTAGAGCTCATCAATTCAGCAAGACTAACTGGCCAGTGAGCTCCAGGGGTGCCACTGTGTCTGCCTCTTTAGTTCTAGGGTTAGGGCAAGGGTAGCATGTGCCTACACTATGCTCAGTCTTTTTATGTTGGTGATAAGGATGTAAACTCAGGTTCCCATTGCTCATGTGCCAAGTTATTTTAATAACTGAGCCATTTGCCCAGCTTTACCATACTCTGTGTGTGTGTGTGTGTGTGTGTGTGTGTGTGTGTGTCCACTTTACAACTTTGAAAGAGGGTCAATCACTGGACCTGAAGTTTGCAGGGAGCAAACCTCAAAGTTCCTGCCTTTACACTTCATATTTCTAGGGTTAGGAACATGTGTCGCCACACCCAGCTTCCTCTTCTGTGGACTCTGATCTCAGACCCCCTGCCTACACAACAAGAGCTCTTACCCACTGAACTCTACCTCCAGTTCCCATACTTATTTTTAATGACCTTGTCTATGACCCACCCATTTCCATGGTTACATCCCAAACCGAAAGATTTAATGCCAAGTGTCTCAGTCCCCTGGCATCTAAATGAGCTGCATTAATCTATGAAAAGCTGTTTGGTAGTTGGTAGGACTAATGACCAGGCAAACAGCTAACTATTTCCCATAAAACAAGACAGTATCCAGAATTACAAGTATCATGAGTTCCCCCAGTCCTTAGCATGATATTACTAGATATGGATAAGGAAACTGAAGCCCTGGAAGTAGGCTGGGGCGCCACAGGGGCTCTTATGGTCTCAGTAAGAGGCGGCCCTGATTAAACTATGAGCTTCTGGAGCAGGTGGATCTTGCTTCAATCGGCAGGATTGCAAACCAAGGCAGGGGCAGCAGACTGTAGAGACGATGCCTTTGATTTCAGAGGAGCCCAACGAATAGAAAGCAAGTGATTGCTTGCTTGAAATAGCTGCTGCAGGTGAACTACAGTTAACCTGCTCCCACCTCACAGTCCACACCAGCAGGACTCACCAATCACATCTCCTTGTTCATGAATCATCATGCCCAAGTCTTTAAAGATTTCATTAATGTCCATAATATCAGCCTAAGATGAGAAAAAAGCACACATTATGCATTATTAGAAATTCAGCCCCCACTCCCACAAATGAGGAAATTCAAAAGAGAAAGAAAGGAACGATTTTGTCCCCACTCACACATATATAAGTATGCATTTGGAAGTAATATATAAATCTTGGGCACATTAGAAAAATATACTACTATACGCAATCCTAGCAAAAGAGCTCCCGGATGACCACTAGTTATCCAGAGTAAATCTGTGACACTTGCTTTATTAAGGGAACAGGATGGAAATTGGGGACCTATAGTGGAGCAAGGCCATGGAGCACTAAGTCCAACCTGTTTTCTTGTGACAGGAAATATTTTCTTAAAGAATATGGATATTATTATATTTCAATAAAAAATTTGCCTATCGGTTCGACACTTTTGATGAATAAAATTATGTATAAGTGTAAAACCCTACATTAATAAACTTGAATACCCAACAGACTATAGTGAAACTATAAATGTCATTAGTGGGTAAACAAATTATAAATTTATCGGCAGAAGAAATTACAGCTTTACATTTCTTAATTATACATACTTAATTTTTCCCAAGGAATGACTTTATTTAACCGTGTAAGGAAGTTTGCACACCTACCGTGGCCTTAGTTTCCCCATCTGTAAAGTGTCACTGTTAGCAAGTGTAAGGAGCTTTTACGAGGACGGAATGAGAAAATGACAGTTATCACAGCACCTTGGCACATGGAAGACCTTCAGTGAACAGCAGCTACTGGTAACTATTATTAACCCACTTATTAGGGCCAGATTGGTTCCCCAAGAACTACAACTTAACAAATCCTTCGTCTCTGTGATGCAATAGACACCCCCAAAGGAAGCACAGTTCTTTTAATGCTGTTGTGAAAGTCTTACTCATGGAGGGATGGTGTGTACAGGCTGAAGGATGTCAGTTCCCCAGACTCCCTGGACAGAGGTTTATTTCTAGAATGGTATTTTCTCAACACTAAGGAGAACCGTGAGTGATTTAACGATGTGGAAGGAATATGGCCTCTCACTCTAGCACCAACAGCACCGTTTCTTAAACAGGAATTATTCCAAATTCTACAACTAGAAATTTCACTAAACTGACAGATGTTCTTAAAAGTTTTCCTCCCCAGCATTATCCGGTTCTGTGAACATGCCCAAAGAACACAGCAGCAGCAGGGCATGCCTGTAAGGCTTACTTCCAGCTGCCTGATTGAAGACTCTCTCTCATGGATAAGGCGGAGGTCATCCTCTGTAATCTCTTCATCTTGGACCTGCACTTGAGGCTGTGTTTGACTATAAAAATAAATACAGAAAGAAGTATTATCCACTACATGGGACATTTTGATCCTCACGACCAGAATATTGCTCATTTTAAAAAGTGCCAAAATAAGTTAAGCATGGTGGTACATGCCTATAATCCCAGTGTGCAACAGATGAGGCAGAAAGATCTGGAATTACTTAGTCCTGGCAACACGGTGAATCCTAGGCTAACCTGGACAACACAGTGATATCTTGCCTCCAAAAAACCTCAATAAACAAATAAACTTCTAAGTATAGATATTTTATCCAAACCTTATCTCAATTTCATTATACTCATGATTTCATCATTATAGGTTTAAATTCACTTAAGTATTAAAAAATTATACTTGCCAATTTTGCATATGAATATTTAAAATTAAGTAAATAAATTTATTTGGGTGACATATGTGCACATTACATTTTAAAAACTTTATATTTATTTTTCCAAAATTTACTATTTATTTATAAATAAAAAGCTGTCTATGCTATAATAAAATACAAGGTTACATGTGTTCTGCTCCATGAACTATAATATATGAAACTTGAAAATTATCTTTTGATTTACAAAGTGTTTCTTTTTTCTCCTACCTTTCCCAGGACACAAGACTCTTTTCCTTCGAGCTGTCTTCTGGAAAACCACCCTGAATAATTTAGTTAGAAGACAGAAAGAAAGCAAGAATAAGGAAAAGTAAACGCTCAAATTTCCCCTTAAGATGGCTGATCTGTATTTTGTATGGGTATGTGTTCATGTGTGTGTGTACACATGCGAGTGTGTGAATACATGTGAGTGTGTGCCTGTGTGTGCATACATATGGGTGTGTGCACATGCAATGGGAGCAGGAAAGGATATGTTCTTTCTAATTTTCTAGGTCAATTGCTTAAGTAAAGACAAAATAATATCTTAAACTGATGAGGATGGAATTCACTATTACAAGAACCAAATAACAAATGTAATTTAACTAATACTTAATGTCATTGTAAAACCTCTACATTAGTGACTGAAATAGCAACTAATGGTGGATCCTGTAAGAATTACAAACTAGATTAACTCAAAAGTTCATTTTATCCTTTCCAGGCTCATATTCACTTTCAGAATCCCTTGGCACATGCCCTGAGTTCATCACCATACCCCGGCACACACCCAAGCACCAAGCCTCAAACCGACTTGCCATGAAAAGTCCACCTGGACCTGCACTCTAACCTTTGACAAGACAGGTTTTTCTGTTTTTCAGGAGTCTGTACTCTGCTATTACTCCACAAGGAATAACTACAACAATACACAACACTATTCTCAAAACCTGGGGTGAGAACCCCTTAAATAGTCACAGATTTGAGAGGGTCACAGACCACTACAACTTTGTACATCAGGATGATGCTAATGCCACATTCACTGCATCACTCACAATACTCACCGATACCCTGGAGCCGGCTCTCACTCGAGCAACAAACTCTTTCTCTCTCTCAGCAGCTTGCCTCTGGGCCTTTTGAAAGTTTGTCAGCGATGTTGTGAATTCCGCCACTAATCTGTCCTTCTGTATCTTTCTTTGACGCTAGAGGGAAGGGAGAAAACTGAACCAAACGGAGAAGCTCACTAGGATTTGCAGTAGTTGCTTCACTGCTCTTTGGCTCTTTATTTGATCCTAAAATTGCCACTCAGTCCCCAGTTACAGAAACCATCTGATGGACTCTCAGGAACCTTTATAATGGCTTCAAACACCTGCACTTTTATCTTAAGGCAAAATGGGCTTCTGTGCAGGATTTCTCACCTTTAGTGTGGCTGACAAGTGGGTTTTAAGATTAAATTTAGGTAATCATCCTTTTAGGCAATAAAATCTATGCACACATATACACTAAGTAAACAAGGAGCTAACTTGTACCCACAGGCACATCTTGAGTGCATGCAGCTGGGGGTGTGTGTGGGGGCAACAGCCCTACAAAGCCAGGATGCAATTACACAGGAGGCATTTTCTCAGTATGTACTTAATTATGGGTCAGGGCAACTACATGGAAATAATTTCTGTTTTATGAAACTACATGATACTACCTGAACGACTAAATACAGTTTTGTGTTCTGGTTGGTAACTAATCTAAAATACAATGTTTTTTGTTGCCTAATTTCCTTTGTAGCATAACCATTCAAAGACCTGACCACACATTTCATTTCTTTCACATTCAATTCTTCAAAACATGTGTTTGAAAGCCTGGTACCTGTTCACTGGGGGTGGTGGGCAGTGATCCAAACTCTTTGATGTACTTATCTGTTTCTTTTGCAAGTTGGTTAGTATATTGCTGCTTTTGCTGCCTAAGGTGAAAAGAAAAAAAAAAAACAAAGAGAAACAGAAGGCAAAAATACATTATCACCCAAGAAAAACCCTGCCACTTGTGTCAACATTAGTAAATGGTTGTAGAAGAACTAGCTTTTTGTCTGGGCATTTATAGTTTCAAACTATAAACTGTAAAAGTACTCATAGCATTCAGAACAGGCAGTCAATTTCTTCTGCCAAACCAAATCTTTAGGTTCTATTTTTCTGATAAATACTAAGAACCATGACATAGAAGGGTCTTCATTCACCTAAAATAACCATGCTTAGAGAAACATGAATTGTTATTACCTATAAGTATAGATCATTAGCTATAGATGAAAATAACTCCAGTGAGAAGGGCATGTAGTCAGGACAGAGGTGACTGTCTGGTCCTTTATATTTGAAAGACTGAAAATGTGTACAGCTCTTATCTGTGCCTCCCTAGTAGAGCATCTGAGAAAGAAAGACTATTTGATTTTGTCCAGTTTCCAGGTATGAGGTACATTTTCTATGTCTTATTTCTTTCTATGAATACAAGTGCAAAGATGGAGAGAAGTGGTGACAGTACAAATTTACTAGTTGTTAAACTTGATGTAGAAAATCTAACATGGCTTCCTTATAAGTAGACTGAATACAAAGAAAGGGGGGGGTGTAAATTATACCTATACCTGTATTTTCCTAGGTATCTTATAAAGAAAAGAGTATGAATTTTAATGAGAAAATTTGATATTCAACAATATAATCTTGTATTAAAGGGATGCTTAGAAACGACACCAAGACCTCCCTTGTACATCCCTTATGTTACACATGAACTGCCAGTGAGGCTCACAATAAAAAGGTGCTCAGATGCAGATGCCTGCATAGAGCTAGTGAAGAAGGAAAATAACCAGCTCACAGTTCTAGACACCAAACCACCTTGCTTGGACGTGCTTCCCTAAGTCTTTAGAACAGGATAGTCAAAGTTCTCAAAATGCATGATCATTGTCTATGGATTCAAAATGTCCACTGCTGATGCCACATAAATAATGTGACTATTTAGTATGTACTTCCATTGCATTGCATTTCAATGAGTGTTTGTGTATTAGCTATGATTCTCCCCCAACACTTACTTTATTCTAGAGAATAAAATATAAACTACAGACAACTACAAATACTTCAAATGGTACTTCTTAAAAACATGAGTTTATATTATATATCTTTTCATATCTTATTTTACTTTTATTCTAGCTAATGTTATATGGAGATAATGCTGTGTGTGTGTACATATATATGTGTATATGTGTTTGTGCATGTGTGTTTGTGAATCTGTATGTATATGTTTGTCTGTGTCCCTGTGTGTATATATACATGCATGCGCAGCCGTGTGTGTGTGTGTGTGTGTGTGTGTGTGTGTGTGTGTGTGTGTGTATCACTTGTAATCTGTAGCTACCTAAAGTGCTTAGAACTTAAGAAGTTCTGAATAATATTGGGCAGATCATCAAGGCCCTAAAAGAAAGATTTCCCTTATGAGCAACTAAAAATGGTTCTGTGTGTGGACATCACTCAAATTTTACAAAGTTCAGATGAGAAAAGATGACAAACACTATGAAATCTATAAAACACACAAAGTACTATTATTATTTCTCTACTGGCATATTTACTGATACATATGTAACGTGAGTGTGTGTGTGTGTGTGTGTGTGTGTGTGTGTGTGTGTGTGTGTGTGTTTGGAAGTTTTGACAGAGTTTCACTGTGCAGCCCAAGATGATCTGGAACTTACTCTGGAGCTCAGACTGGCTTTACATTCTCAACAATATTTTTGCCTTTTCTCCAATAAAAACCTATTATAGAAGCATCATAAAAATAGTTTTCTCTTTTCTCTGTCTGAAAAAAAAAGCTGAGTGATTGTGCACAAGTGCGGGTATTTAATCCCATCATCCCAGCACTTAGAAGTCAGAGCCAGGTGAATTTCTGTGAGTTTGAAGCCATCCTGGTCTACAGAGCGAGTTCCAGAATAGCCAGGGCAGCTACACAGAGAAACCCTGATTCCAAAAACAACAAAGAAACAAAAAACCCAAAAAGCAAAACTTACAGTTGCTGCCTCAGTTCCTGTGAGTCTTGGGGTGTTCCAAGTTGATTCAGAGTCCTTTGGATTTCCACAGCTATGGTAACAGAAAATTAATGAATAATTGTTACAAAAGTAACAGCCACGGAAAAATATTACATTAGAAGCAATTAGGTAATTAAATGATGAAAAGAAAGCAAAGCAAAGCATAATGATAGATAATAACAATTTGAAACAAAAAGAAAAAAGAAGTGGTTTGTTGCCGGCTAATCAGTAACAGCAACAGACTAATTTTCCCAGAGAAAACTGAGTTTCGAGAATACTGACATGTGAAACTTGCTCATGTCCAAAATGGCAGCAATCTCGTCCCTGTGCTACAAGGACTGAATGGAGAGCAAAGCTATGCTGTTGTCTTAGAGGATGCATTTAATTGACAAGTGCATGGATGCAGATGGAGGGGAAGGCATGGGACACAGGATCCAGCCCAGAAAAGTTAAGAAAAGTATCATGAAGACCCAGTGAGGATTCAGAGAAACAGATGCTGCAAAAAGGGATTCAAACAAGAACCTAAAATATCTGTGTTCTTCTGGAGGACACTCCCCAGAGCGCCAATGGGGTGACATCTCTGTTGGTTTGGAATAGTAATTAGAAGAACAACCTCCAGTTTGGAGACTCAGTTGTCTAATTCTGTACTTAGATGCAGAGTGAAATGACCAGATTACTACTATATACCACAAGTACAAAGTAAAATATTTATAGGTAAGGACTAGAACTATATTTTTATCCATTTCTGTATTTACAGGACTGATCATTGTATTGATACTCAATGGATATTTTTATAGCACAACTATAAAAATGTATTGAATAGATCAATTATTTAAGAAATACCATGCATTTCTAAAATACAAAAGTAGGAAGTGATTTTAAAATTGCTAAGTGCTCATCTGTAATTAATTCACTCATTCAGTAATCCCTGGCTAACCTCTGTTCTGGATATGAACAGCAATTCTGCAGTGTCCTTTGATTAGAGCAGGTGTATGCGTGAAAATCAACTAAATCATTGAACACTAGATAAAGGCATATGGAAACATAAATCTGAAATTACCAAATCCATTCCATTTATATGTGTGCGTGCGTACACATATATACATATAAATGTATGTGATATTGACTCAATCTCATTTTACAAAGACATTGATAGCCATAGAGAATAACTGATGTCCAAGAAACTTTATCTATTTGGTAAAGGAGCTGGGATTAAACTAGTGATTTCCTGGCTTTCAAAATTGTATTATTTCAGTGTGGTAGACGTACTGAAAGAAAAGGTCACTTCATGGTCTGAGTCTGTGATGACCAAGGAGACAAAAGTCCAGCGTGCCTAACTTGAAGAAGCAAAGGAGAGGCGCCAGGGGGAGGTTCTATGTACCGGGCACCCCCCAGTGAGGTCCATGCATCACCAGGGCACAGCAAGGCCCTCTCTATGCAGATGAAACTAGCCTGCTTTTGTTTCCCCGTGGTACTGTGGGCTAACAAAATTCTAGAGTCATCATTTTACACACCACTATCACTACCTTCTCATACCAGGGTCATCAAATGCCCTGATAAGCTCAGGATCTTGTTTTGTAGTTTTCCAACCTAAGATGGCTAATTAAATACAAAGAGTAAACACAAACAATAACATGAAGAACTTGTAGGAAATCATGCATTGCCTGCAAAAGTCTAAAGTATTGACTGTCAGATGCCTTAACAGAAAAGCTAATATCTCTGTTCTGACTTGTTAAATATTAACTAAATTCTGTATTCACAAGCTCCACTCAGCCCTGAGTGTACTAAGAACTCCCTATGTTACTATTTGCCATAAACCGAAGTCTATTTGCTGTAAATACTTAACAGTGTTGCAACCTTTCCACAAAGGGTGCCTGGGCATCAAGCTGAAACCCTGTGATTTTCAGAAAGTATGTGTTACTAGTGCCTGGGAGGCACAGGCTTGAGCAGGTTCTTCTTATCTGTTAAGTTAATTTAGAAGCTAGATTGCAGTGACTGCATTGCTGATGAACTTCCTTGTAGAAGACTCAATAAACATGGTGTTATTTTGTGAGCCTGCGGCTTCCACACTCTTGGAGAGGAATGAGGATAACTGGCTAAAGGGATTCCCTTGGCCCAGCTCAGCTGACCACACAGCATGAAGAAGCCTGAGGGAAAAATGCACCTTCAGGGAAAGGGCAAGATGCTATGAGACTGGTGGCAGGCAGGCCAGTGATAATGATCCTCCCCGCCCTTCTCTAGATGGTTCCATTTCAATTTATGGTCTAGGGTGTTTTGAGTTTACAGGATGGCCACATTTCATTTCAATTGGAATAAATTCAATTAAGCGAAAACATGAAGCAGCAATATTAAGGAATACTTTTCAAATTACAAAAGGGATTCTAGACATTCCTAATTTACTACATAAGAAGAAAATGTAAATCAAGACTTCCCATGAGAATGAAATAAAAAATAGTAACTTTTGCCATCGTCTGCCATTTTGTACTGTCTGTACTATTGCTCACTTCCAGGGAGGGGGCGCTATGGGATATACTACAGTTTTCACAACAGAAATGCAACAGTAGCTCCAACACATCCACCTAAAGTGCATTATTGTTTCATCAAAAACAAGCAATTCCTACTCTCTCTTCCTGTTAAGTATGTGTGAGTGTGCTGCCCTCTAGTGGACTAGGACATAAGAAAAATGCTTTTTAACAAAGTGTACACTTTCGGTCATAAAATTGCAGGTACACTGGATGAGGGCTATGAAGCCTTGCAGTCTGGGGAATGTGGAGCTCTTGCAAATGTTTGACAAGTGACTATGACAGGCTGTTGGGGACAACAGACCCTGCTCTAACCCACACAGAGCACCTTCAAATAACCTCCAAACAGCTGAGGGCAAGCTGTACCACCATCGTATTTTAACAGAAAATGAACCTCTCACTGAATCCAGAGTGACAGAGTTATGACATGTCAGAAACAAAATGGTTGGTGAAACCTTTGTGTGACCCTGACGCTCAGATTCAGTCTTTAATCCCACAGAGGACGGACAAGTCCGCACCAACCAGGAAAGGCCACCGGCAAGGGCACCCGAGTCAGCCCGGCTCGGAAATGTGATCCCACTTCCTGCTGCTGACTCTGGGCATTGACCTCATCACTCCAGCCACCGCTACTTGGCATCGTCAAGCACAGAAACCACCCGGTTCCCACCCGTCATTAACTCTGGCTGATAACAACGTGAAGAAGCAGCTCCTACTGGAGACAGCGAGAGCCAACACACGGACACTAACAGAAGCAAGCAGTTGTCATTCTTTCTTCTGAGTCAGACCTAAATAGTAAGAAAATCCTTATCAACCACTGTGACTCGTGCTTGAGTGGAATTCAATAGCATCAATGTCTTGGTTCGTTTTGTGTCCACTTGACACAAGCTAGAATCAGTAAGAGGGACTCTCAATTGAGAAAATGCCTCCATGAAATCAGGCTGTAGCAAGCACAGAGCACATTTTTAAAAGCAGGGGTGGAACCAGCCCTGCATGGTGGTCCTGGGTTCCATAAAAAAGCAGGCTGAGCAAGCCATGAGGAGCATGGCAGTAAGCAGCACTCCTCCATGGCCTCTGCACCAGCTACTGCCTCCGGGTTCCTGCCTGGTTTGAGTTCCTACCTTGGCTTCCCTCAATGGATTGTGATTCAGGACATGCAAACCCAATAAACCCTTTCCTCCCCAAGTTGCTTTTGGCCATGGTGCTTTATCATAGTAATAGGCATTTTAGCTGCAATAAATAGTCTGCAATATAGTGCCAGAATTAGAGGTAATGATATCAACAGGAAGACGAGAGTTACGTCTTAATTAGGAGGGATGAATCAGCTAGTACCTGATGGTGGCATGTACTCAACAGCTGTTACAAGTGACGTAACTGAAACATTAAGAAGCCTTAAACATTAAAAGACTCAAACCTTCCCTCATCTATCAGTTTCTCCCTGTGTTGCTGAGTGGTTAGGAGTATTACAAAGAAATGTATGGGAAAACTGGAAATGACCTAGATCTCTATAAGAATGTAAGACATTTTTACTTGTTAGTGAGAGCTGAAATTCAGGTTCATCATGGAGCATGAGGGGTACAGGGAATGCTCACTTAGTTGAAAAAGTGTAAGTCATCAACACAAAACAGGTTTAAGAGTTAAAGTCAAATGAACTTGGTCTATTTAATATCGCTAAGACTGTACTCTAATTCCAAAAAAGCAGATCACACATGGAAGTTTTCCAGAGCATGCGTTTGTTCACACGTACACACGTACACACACACACACACACACACACACACACACACACACACACACACTGGCTGCTGAAAGCGCAGTGGCCTCTTTTCAAAGTGTTTTATCTCTTGTCCTGTCTTGTGACTTCAGCAGAAGGGAGATAATTGTCTGGGAGGCTTCAAGCAAACCATGGAGGGCATCTCCTGGTGGAGAGGCAAGAGAAGCCTTTGGCTCCAGAGGCCCAGTGGCTAGCTCCCGGCCTTCTGCCGCCCAGCTCAGCATCCCTTCATGCAGAAATACCACCCTTGGTCTGTAAAGCAATCCCAGGTCTAGAACATGTCTAGTTTTCTCATCAGCTGCGCACCCCAGGGAGAAAGCCATGTAAGTCAGCAAAGTAACAAATACCATCAGTTTACTGCTACCCTGGATTGACAGAGGTAATTCTGTGGGTCTGGATTTTAATAATAGAGCTCAAGAGTAACTGGGTTTTGTTTGTTTTTGTTTTAAACTGGATTTCCAGACAAGCAGATATGACAGGCTGGGCTTCTTGGCAAGGGTACTTTGCATTCTGTTTTAACACACGCACTGCTGAGCCACTCTGCTCTTGGGTAAATTGCTGAGTTGTTTGGTGAGGTCTTGGCTTTACAGGGTGGATCTGAGTGAGAAGCCAACAGAGAAGGACCTGGCTGTGGAGGTGTCCTACCCCTTGCAGTAATCCAGCATTCTTGATATGAGATTGCTGGTGATATCCCCATCTCCCTTTTCTTACACACAGGAGGTAGCCCGGGCATTCTGTCTGAAAGCAGCAGCAGAGGAC